GATATGTGATAGCCTGCCGCATCTGGTCTCCTGCAGGGAGCCAGGATGGGGTTGTGTGCATTGAAGTCTTCCCCTAAGATCATTTGGTCTCGCGATGTCTAACGGCCGTATCGAAACGTTGGTGTGGGCCCCGCAATTCAGTCTCCAGGGAAGGGTGCGGGGAGCCCCGCATTCGCAATACGTATTATTAAACCGTTCGGGCAAGCCCCTTCCCTGGGGACTTCAGTGGGGACTGTTGGTACGCCTGATACATCCCGCGCACCGCAGTTGGTACGCCTAATGCTGGCTTAATTACGAATTGTAGCCAAATTTATAGCCTTCTTTTTAGGAAAAAATCGCATCAAAGCCTGCTACAGAAGTACCGTCATTTACAAATGTCTTATTCACACTCGCTCTCAAAACCTTTGATCATACGGGAAAGTTCAGGGTTACCATCATGATCAGTTACTATATTTCATTATTAATAAATCACGCACGCACATACATACACATAGGCCTATATATATGAAGGCATGCCCGTCCAGTTACTCGAAATTGCGTTTTGTTAATTTAAACTTACATCAGTAACACGAGCATCGATATAATTTCGTAAATACACTCTATCTAACGATTGTTGTGATATACCAAAATTTATGTTATAGATGGAAGCTTGATTTAACAAAACATGCAATAAATGATATTTCGAGAAATTTCGAGAATACGTTTGCACGCGCATACACTCATTTATGGATATGCATATATATACATATACATATATATATACTTATATATATATACCTATATATATATATATATATATATATATATATATATATATATATATATATATGCGTATGTAGTGATTGACTCTTAATTACTCTTGCTAATTAGTTCATTTAGCGTTGCCACCACCTGGTTAGTACGTCCAGGAATAATACATGTGCCGAAAGGGGAAGACGTCTAGAAGGGTGTAATTTGATAAAAAGAAAGTATGCATGTGTAAGAAAAGGAAGAATGACCTAATCCACAAGGGTTTGTCTGGTAAGCGTGGTTAATCCCGAGGGGAGTCCGTGTCAGCCTTAAGGGCTGATGGAAGGTCGTCAATTGCTTGCCACAGGTAGCCAAGTTATGGTATCATTTGTCTCTTAAAAAGGGTTAAATTGATAGAGGAATTTCGCTCACGAAGCTTAAAAATACATTTATTAAAACACTAAAACACTTAACACTTGTAAAACACGAAAAGTAAACATTACACCAGGATACATGTACACTAAAAAGAACGAGCATTAAAACCAGAACCTAAAACATGCACAAAAAAAGTACAAAAGGAGCACTCTGTTTTATACTATAAACATGAAAAGCTTAAAAAATCCCACCTTACTACCATCGAAACCTCGTCCTTACATCCGCAGGGGAACCACGAAAAAAAAAAATAACTCACTAGCTTCCACCAGGTGTACATCAGCCGCTAGGGACGTCGACTGACAGCCTATACCCCTTGCGTCCTTCCGCTTCTTCTTCTTCTTTGTTGGATTTCTTAGCTATCAACCAGCGGTATGTGGCCAAGGTTATTAAGCCAATGGATCCTATTTATTCTATCAATCTATGTAAGGCCATAAAGTTTTGTCTCCCTTAAAAAAAGGATTGCTGTACTTATTTTTTCGTCATCTGATAAAAGATTTGATGTTGTTAAATCTTTATTTTTAGTCTGAAATAATGTAATATATGTTGTCTTTAGTTGTTATAATTCTGACATGCTATTTAGAGGTGTTCTATTGTCAGGTTGGAGGTGCATGTCTGGCATTGTGGAGGGTATTTTTTTCTATGTAGGGAGTGAGGTGGGTAATTTTTGCAGTGTTGACCCTAAGGCGGGCAACACCACCTCCTTCTTTCCTTCCTGTGGGATATGTCCCACGGTTCGATGTTTAGTCTGACTTTATTTGTCAGTTGGAGGTTGGTCCACTCACTTTCCCACCGTAGATGTATTTTTGCTTTTATAAGAGACAAAACACCCGAGATCTGTATGAACTATGGTAGTGTCCAGATCGCCAGTTGACCCGGCTAATTTGTCAGCCTGTTCATTGCCATGGATGCCAGAGTGGTTTGGTACCCATATTAGCTTGATTGATTTGTTAGCACCATGTAACTTATGAATGGTATTACCCAGCAGTTCATTTTTAGTGGTTTCTAAGGATTTAATAGCTTTAAGTAAACTTAATGAATCTGAAAAAATAACTATTCTATCGTGGGTCGTCGATAGTGCAAAATCAATGGCAAAAAGTTCAGCAAGAAAGATCGATGTATGATTCGGCAGTCTGAACTTTAGTTCACATTCAGTCGACCATACACCCGCACCCACACACTCATCTGTCTTGGAGCCGTCGGTATATATATGAAAAAAGGGAGATGTTTAACAAGGATCTCTCTGAACCTCTGGCATACCTCCACCTGTCTATCAGCTCCCCATTTATTATCAGAAATGCACTTTAATAAATTCAGTACTCTTTGACATTCATTCTTTATCTAACCAATGTGGTCTTTCTAATTGAGTCTACTACCAAAGAGTAGACCAAGAAATTTAGCAGAATTTTGAAAAGGTATTCGGTGGTGGTCTAGAGTTAGCCTGATGTTCGGCTTCCTCCTATGTGAAAAAATTACCCCAATACTCTTTCCAGTGGAAAACTTAATACCTCACTGGAGGCCCCAGTTATGAATCATATCAAGTGCCAATTGGATGCGATTTGTTGAGAAATCTGCATTATTGCTAAAATGACATATTGCACAATCATCAGCATACAGTGAGTATTTACGATTCCGAGGGGGAGCTGGTAATATGTCATTAATCATGCATAAAAATAATGTTGGTGACAAGATACTTCCTAGTGGGACCCCATTTGCCTGGACAAAAATGTCCGAAACAGTGACATTGTCAGAAAATAATTTGACAGCAAAAGTTCTGTCAGAAATGAAATTCTGAATAAACCAAGGCAAGTTTCCATGTAATCCAAAAGCATAAAGTTTTCTGAGTAGGCCATATCACTATGTCATGTCGTAGGCATTTTCTGTATCTAAAAATACTGAAATCAATTTTTTTTTTGGCAATTGCCTCTTGAATATGACTGTCCAGCTTTACTAGTTGATCGAGAGTTTGGCGCCCCTTTCGGAAACCGTACTGCTCGTTAACTATTAAATTATTGTTGCTTATGACCTTCCATAGGCAACTTGTCAACGCAATTGGGCGGTAGGAGATGGCAAATCTGGGATTACCCCCTCCTTTCAATATGGCAATGATGTGGGCGAAGTGCCACGAGTTTGGAAAAGTGTGGTTTTTCCAAATTTCATTGTACACTCCGGTAGGCTTAGGAAAGTCACATTAAGGTGAAATGAATTTAGAACAAAAAAAGTGCACCCAAAGGACGCCCCAGACAACTGGGCCTCCCTACCCAGGGGTCAAAGCCCAAATGGGCTGCCCTAGTGTAGAAGAGAGCTGCGGGTCTGAGGTGGGGTGCTGACTACTCCTACTGTAGCCTCGTGCCACCTGCAAAGACAAGAACACTGAAGGTGCAAAACACTATAAGGATCTGTAATTACAAGTTTTACTTTATTTAAATTACTTTCGAACTCAGAAGCAACAATGTCTAGCGAGACGAGAGGCCCCGGGGTCCAGGGTAGCTCTTGTGGCACAAGACTTCTGCGTTTGTTGCTGCTGTGTTTTCAACAAGATGTTACTCATCAGAGTTTCATACACGAGTCAATAGCATATGTAGGGTGGTAGGCAGTTTAGAGTGAGTAGCTTGATTTGACTAGGCCAGTTGCAGGTAATCCAGGTGCCTCCTACGTTTGTCTTAAATTCTTTTTTTAAATGCCCATGTACCCCCAAGGTTTATTCATTCATTGTTCGGTTAAATTACCATAAGTCCCTCGCTAAACAGAGCAATAAATCATGCCAGAGGTAAAGAAAGGTAAAGTGAACATGCAACAATTTAGTTAAAAGATTAGTGATATAAGGAAATAATAGTAAGTATAAAAATATTAATTTATTTAATCTGCACGTAACACTATGCATATCAATCTCGAAGACTTGACCATAATAGCATACATACCTGTAAAGGTGAAGAAAAGGAATTACAGAGAAACGAAAAGTAAGGAAAGAACGAAATGTAATGACAAAGAGCCTCAGTAATAACAATGATAAAGACTAACAAATGAATTCATGATCTTAAAATTTGGAATGATGAAAATACGAAAACAAAGTCTACAAATGAAGTAAACAAGGTTTACTTACTTGAGGGTTTGTTTACCAACAAATCAGAACATTAACATGCATACGCGAAGTCTGAAAAGAAGAAACAAATGATTTAACCATTGTGGGCAACCGAGCAATGAGTAACTACCCTGCGTACAATGGCGCTAGTTTGAGATTGTTACCCGAAGAATTTCATTCAAATGTTTATTATGAACGATCGTAGAGATTTTTTGCTAAATAGATACATATCTGCCGTTCACAGATCCCTCTGTTGGACGAAGCATTACGCTTTCTTCCGTCGTGGTTCCCCTGCTAAACGAAAGGATAATAATAAATAGGAGAATATAATAAAAGGTAAGAAATGAGAGGCAGTGGAAAAGAAAGCAAATAGAGAATTAAAAGCATTCTAATTACGCCTGATAAGAGAGTCGAGATTCGCGAGTGTGAGGTGTGCTCGCTCGCGCGTCCTCTTCCTTGATTCAAACACGCTTACCAATTCTGTCATGCACGTCCTGCTCTAGTGACCTGTTCTCGTGATCTCTCTCGTCTTACATACCAGAAAAGCCATGTGTTCCTTATCTCACAGTAATTCCACTGTCCTCAGCCGACTCCAACAGGTCTACACCCGTGAAAATGACGAATGATCTTAGAACACGGTAATTCAACCCTTATTGCTTGTGAACAATTTCCATGCTGTTATTCTGTTGTCTCTGTGTACAATTATGTGTTGTTTATACTCAAAATGTTCGTTAGAAAATGCTTATTCTGAATCACTAAGTATATTACCGCTAACATTGTTGATATTCAAATGCTTTTATGTTTTGTGAATACTCAGCATTTTTGTCTCCTTATCACGAAGCTTTTTAGTCACCACGAAACCATGTTACCATACGTATAGGAATTTATGTTCATTCAAATTCTTTCATGTTTTCCATTATGAAATGTTTCAAAACGAAGTTTGTTCATGAAATTTCGGAGCAGTCCAGACAGACCGCTCGCCACAGCGAGCCGGGCAGGTCGCCCGCTCTTCCCTGAGCGCCCCTGCCTTGCCTGTCCTGTGTATCCCACCTACCACACTCCCGTAGAAATAAAGACTTGAAGCAGCAACAACTTTAACTTAACTCAATTCCACACCACTTCACTTCAAGAAGCAAACACGAGTTCCATACAGAGAGAGGAAAAGCCCACACCACATTATCACACATTTTGGCGGCAGCAAATGGGATAAGTCCACCACCACATTATTACAGTGGTGGCATCGCTCTGGGATTAACACACCACACGAGCTCTCCGCACACCACGAGCCCTCCGAAGACCACATCATTACACCTCCAAACACACATACACGAACACATGTTTTATTTTTCCGCAACTCTTGTATTTGTACTTCACACACATATAGGCGTTCAAACACGCAAATATGTGGGTGGTGCAGACCTATCTACCGTCCTAATTAAAGAGCAACAATTGGTGTCCCCTTCACCACGGGCCGTATGCTGGGTTCCGCGCACACCTGATATTACATACGTACAAATCTATTCTGTCTGTCATGAGGAGATCGAGATAGCATACCATACTTTATGAGGCGAGCTAGAGCCACCTCTGAGGCAGGAAAGGCGTAAGAGACCAGGAAAAAGGGGTCCCGTTCTCTTATACGAATTTCTGAGAGTAAGCAAGCAGCATTGGGCTTAACGCTCAAAGAAGCCATGAGTATTTGTATGTACACACACAAGGTGCACCATGAACTGAGTCTTAAGTAAGTTTTTCTGGCTCAGTCTATGAATAAGATTAATATAAATTTTAAAACCGATTAGAAATTAAGATACCGTGTGAAACAGAGACTGAAATACGAAAGAGAAAACTGGCCGCATATAGACGAACAGATATGTGCATACTAACTTAAAGGAGTCAAATAACACGGTTCTGCGAGGAAACGCTGAACAACTCGCACTACCGTAACTTACTATTGCTAAAGACTAATCACAGTTGAGGTATATATAAAATGTAATATATGCCTAAGGACTACATAAATGAGGTGTGTAAAGGGTGGGTTTTAAACTTGTGCTTATTACACTTCGTCTTGTTTTCTAGTTGTGACCACTTTTTTTTCTTTTTAGAATGGTGTTTTAGATGTTGCAGCTTCAAAATCTATTAATATTCAAATAATTCAAATAATTATGTGTAGACAAAAACTAATACAAAACAGCCATATAAGGAAAACCGAGGTAAGGTTTTAGTAAGTTTTCCGGTAGATAGAAATGGGTTATTGACAGGGCCTGGGTATTCAAAACTAGTCCGTTACAAGTTCGAGGACTTTGTAACCGCCTCACTATATCGTACCTTCCGCTCTCCTTACTCCACTGCAAAACACCAATACTCAAAAAAATTTCACAATGTAGTGATAATTTTGTAAGGTCCGTATTTACATTGTAAGTTAATTCCATCGGCCACCAAAAGAGGGCAGATCGTTAGTCGATTCATTTATATATATTATTATTACAGGGTCATTGCAGCCATCACTCCTCCGGGTAGTAGAACATACTTCACAGATGGATCGGTCGATCCCTTGAGCCACACTGCAGGCGCCAGCTTTGCAACAAGGGATGCTACGCAATCCACAAGGGTAATAGACAACGCCTCCTCGCTACAGGCAGAGGCAGTTGCAATCATGGGAGCCCTAGCTCACGCATCCCTAAGGGAAGGACCGTAGTCATACATATAGACTCCAGAGTAGCCATTGATATGTCTTCAGCACAGCTCACCCAAAGACAACATTTACCTCCTGACCACAATACTTACCATAGCTCAAAGAATTCTTGTTCAGGGTAGAAGAATAATCATTAACTGGGTCCCTAGCCACGTTGGCATCAGAGGGAATGAACTTGCTGACAGACTAGCCATCATTGGCAGGGGTATGCCCCCAAATCCCATGATCATACGACCAAGCCGAAAATGACTAAATGAGAAGTGTAGTGAGGCCGCCTGTACCTTCCTCCTGCAGCTTCACAGAGAGGAAACGAGATCCTCCCCCTCAGCCAGCTGGTACTCAGACGCCACAGGCTATGAACCACTGGCGTATTTATATATGTAAACTATCCGCGCATGCTTTGCACCATTGCACGCTATTTGTATAACATACTCTATTGAAAAGATAGTTAAATCAATCATAATCATAATTAAATCACAGAATGCACACTGCCTCACAAAGTGTTTGTTGTTGCCACATTTCGCCATCTGACATAAAGCGCGTGTAATCTTCCTCGAGCCTAGACTCGCGCGTCAGTTACTGTTCGCGGGCGAGAGTTGTCATAGTGCACGCTGTCTCGGGACTTAGATTCTAGAGGTAAATCACGCGGCTCTACTTTTTTCAGTTATGAAGCTAAATAGATTTGTCGATCGTGTGTCAATATTCTTACTAACACGTTACTGCATATATGTGCGCATAATATATATATACACCTATATGTGTGTGTGTTTGCGTGTATGTATGTGTGTGTGTGTGTGTGTGTATATGTATGTATGTGTGTGTGTGCATGAATATGTGTGTGCGTGTTATATATATACATATGAATGTGTGTGTGTATGTAGATATGTATATATATGTATGTATTTGTATATGTATACGCATATATATACATATACATATATATACACACACGCGCGCACACATATATATGGTAGAAAAACCCACACTGCAACAACTAGATTTATTGAAAATGAGACTACGGTTTCGAAATCCATCTTCCACCTTCAGGACTGAAGAGGAAAAGTAAAGGAGAAGGTATGTTTGTGTTTATAATTGCGGAATTGTATTTCAGTACACTTGCTGCGTCCTAGTTTTGTACATCTGGCAGCCAATTCGATGTAGACATAGCGTAAACAGTATTTTTATGAATGAATGAAGTTATTTACATCTATTGTCGGAAATTATGTAAGCAATTTGATCTTTCGTTTTCTTCAAACATATGATGACAAACATACAGTATGAGTTATCGTTGACTTGCAGTGGGATACTTTTCAAATGCGATTTCTTGGAATTGTTTCTTTATGGAAATGGTTATACATACACACACACACACACACACACATATATATATGTGTGTGTGTGTGTGCGTGTGCGTGTGCGTGTGTGTATACGCCATACATACATACATATATATAAAAATATATACATATATATACATAGATATGTTATATATACATATATGATTGTATATATGTATATATCAAAATATCTTTACACACATTTATATATATATACTCATACACAGATGTATGTAGATATATATATAGACATATATATATGTATATGTCTATATATGTAGATATATATATATATAATATATATATATAGTTATATATATGTATATGCATATATATGTATTTATATGTGTTTAAATTTATGTGTGTATATATATACATATATAAACATATATATGTATATATACACACATATGTATATATACATATATATGTATGTATATATATACGTATATATATATATATATATATATATATATATATATATATATATATATATATATATGCATATAGACCTACATATACATATGTGTGTATATATGTGTGTGTGTGTATACACACTTATATATGAAAATATATTTACACATATAAATACATATATATGTATATATATATATATATATATATATATATATATATATATATATATATACATACAGATATAGACATATACATATATATTTATATATTTACATGGATAATTATATATATATATACATATATATTTTTATATACATATATAATTATATATACACATACATACATACACACGCACGCACATATGTGTATACATATGTATATATATACGCGCGCACACATATATGTGTATATATATACATATGTATATATATATACACGCACACATATGTGTATATATATACATATATGTATATATATACCTACATACATACATGTGTGTATACATATATATATTGCGTATGAGAGAAAGAGAGGCGCTGAGTTGCGAGGAGGCTCCAACATGCCAGATGTCACCGATAGCGTTTCTACTACGCACGAATTTTAAAAGGAACATCAAGTTGGCAGTCCCGCGTTTGTTCACAGACACACATTGCGTGTATGTGTCCACTTACATCGTATATACTTTTACCGTGGTAGTAAGTAGATATCTGAGGCAGAACCATAGAACTCTAGATAGTCTAGAATGGTAGGTCAGGGTCGGGGCCGGAGTCACGATGCTCCAAGCGGGGGAGAATAGAGAGGAAGGCCCATGTGTTATAGACTGCCTGATGTGACCAAGTGCCTCGTTGCTCTGAGAGATTGAAGTGTGACGAGATCCTCGAGAGCCATATAAACCTTGAATAGGATAGAAAAAGATCAGAGGAAGAGACGAGAGGGGGCGGAGAGGAAGAGATAGTAATTATAATAATCAATGATAATTTAGTTTTATTCCGTGTCAGCAAGACTGCTAGACGAGAACACTACTGCTGCACCACACAGACAGAGGGGGGAAGGAAGAGAGAGAGAGAGGGAAGGAAGAGAGAGGGAAGGAAGAGAGAGAGGGGGAAGGAAGAGAGAGAGGGGGGAAGGAAGGGAGAGGGCGTAAGGAAGAGAAAGGGGAAAGGAAGAGAGGGAGGGATGATGAGAGAAAGAGAGGAAGAGAGAGATGTAGGGAGGAGAGGGAGAGTGTAAGACTCATCTGGGTAACGAATCCCCATGATTTGGCAATGTGCCCAGTTTGGTAATGAAAATTTAAAAACATAATTCTTATTTGTTTGATGTAATCATCAAATAACATGACTTGTGTTTATGTTACATATGTACGATATGTTCCTAATTTCAAGCTTAGGTAAAAAAAAAATACTAAAACGAGACTTGTGGTGCAGCCACAATTATATGGCAACATAAGTTAGCACTGTAAGTAATCCACTATCATCCAATATCTGTAAGATGTGATAAGATTAAGCCACATGCCCCACCGCAAGACATAGAACAGTGCCTTCTTATGAAGGACTTAGGGTTTGGGCAGATGGAGAAAACTGATCTGATTGGATGCCATTCCTAACCTCGGACTTTGGGTAGGATTCGAACTCACGCTCTGGATGACCCTTCTGGTTCCAAGCTGCGTGCGTTACTGCTGCACCAAGTCGGCTTCCTTCCACTTTCTATATTTTGTAAATGAAATTAAATTGAATTGCACTTTTCTACAAGTTCCATATACCCACTCTAAAAGTCTTCGCAATCCACTGATTTCCTCTTGATTTATATGATTTTTACTCACCAGGATGATTGGAGTAACATGGCTGCTGTTGGGTGCGGCGCTAGCATTATTTTGGGCATATTCGTGGTGGAAACACAGATTCTGGGCAAAGAAAGGTGTGCCCACTCCGCCCGTGGTCCCCTTCATCGGTCATGCGCATAAATTGCTTCTCCCAGAGCCAAGATGTAACTTTGAAAAAGAGGTAATGTAATGTTTTCTATAAATTATTGTGTTATTGAGCATCAGACGCCACAGTGATTAGTAAGACATATTTGTATGCTTCTTTAAAGATTTTAGTCTCGTGATACATCCCTGCACTCTTAACAGGCCTATTTCAACTATAATGGATCAAAGTTATGTGGTGTCTACATCTTCCACGAGCCCATGTTACTGGTGGGCGATCCGGAAGTCATGAGGAACATTTACGTGAAGGACTTTGACCACTTTATGGACAGAAGGACAATAAACATGCCGAACGAGAAGGACAAAGTAATGGCCAACATGTTGACTATGAAGACAGGCGAAGAGTGGAAGAAACTGAGAGCCATCATGTCTCCCACTTTCACTTCAGGCAAAATGAAGGGGATGTTCCCGCTCGTGTGCAAAAAGGCCGACGAACTCGTCTCCTTCTGCCTGAAGGAAGCACGCACAAAGCCCTTTGTCGACATGAAGTATAATTTTGGCCGATTCACCATGGACACAATTGCTTCCTGTGCCTTTGGTATTGAATGCAATTCACTAGTGGATGAAAAGCCAGAATTTGCTGATAAAGTTGACGCTTTTTTCAAAATTACACCGGGAATGATAGGGAGACTTCTTTTCTTGAGCATATTTCCTAAACTTGCCAAGCTACTTAAAATGAGATTTTCAGCACAAGCAACTGATTTCTTTACGGAAGTTGCCCATGAGACCATGCGAGCGAGGCAAAGTGGAAATAAAAGAGGAGACTTTTTGGATCTCTTGCTAGAGGCAGAAGTCTCTACTGGCGATGCCGAAGGAAACACGGAAATGCAAGACGACAGTAAATCATCCAAGTCTAAACAAGGTGAGCAGCAACTTAAAACTAAATGGATTCAAACATGCAATTTACAGTGTTTACCTATCATTTACTGTTATCATACAACTCACCTCATTTACACCAGGTAGTGATTAAAATGCGGACACTTTTCATTCTGGCAGCACTGGATGAACTTACCATCATTTCCCAAAGTGTCTTGTTCCTGATCGCCGGTTACGATACAACAGCCTCCACGCTGGCCTTTGCGTCCATCCTACTTGCCAAGCACCCAGAGATCCAGCAACGCCTTCGTCAGGAGATCAGTGAAATGGTCGAGGAACACGGCGACATAACCTACCAGGGGATTATGGAAGCCAAATATCTTGATGCTTGTGTCATGGGTAAGCCTCCCAGATTAACTTCTGCTTCAATGTCTTAAATGGAAATGCTGATTGTCAGATTTTTAGAATTATTATTGTCAGGTAGTAACGTACTCGGTCCATCTTCAGGAAAGAGAAAAAAGACAAATAGGTAACTTATCCCGGACTCAGTAATACTCCGGTTCGCTAAATCTTCCGAGAAAAAGTAAATAAAGTTTAGTTTTGAAGACAACTAAACACACACATACATACATATATATATATATATATATATACAGTAAAACCTGAGAAAACCGAACACCCATGGGACTGTAAAAAATGTCCGGTTTGGACAGTGATCCGGTTTGGAGAGGGTGGGCTTTTAACACAGGCCGCCTATTGAAATGGGAAGGGACTGAGAATATCGTCCGGAATGGACAGTGATCCGGTTTTCTCAGGTTTTACTGTACATCTTTAATACACAAAACATAAGTGTCAAACGTCAGCTACTGAGAAAAAAATGAAAAAAAAAGAATCGAAGAATTGAACCATGCCTGAATCTGGATGAGTTGCCAAGTCTTCCTTTCCCGAGCGCGATTAACCTTTCCATTTCTCTCTTCACAGAAACCCTTCGTATGTACCCACCGGGGCTTTTCCTGGAGCGCAAGTGTATAAAGGAATACAAGTAAGACCTTTTCAAAATACATCATATCTCAAGCTTTTGTTAATATAGGCCTACTTCGGTGTAAATGACCTATTAGTTCTACCCATAGCATGCATTCTTGTGTGTGTGAATTCTAATTTGGTTTTATACTTTATATGTATTCTATACATATATGTATATTCATACTTGTGAGTGTGTGTGTGTGTGTGAATTTTTGTTTGTGTATATATATATATACATGAATACATATATGTGTGTGTGTATTTATGTGGATGTATATGTATATATATGCACATGTGTGTGAATATATACACACACATGTCTGTATGTAAAAATATATATATGTATATACATATACATATATGTATTTATGCATATATGTATATATAGATATACATCAATTTACAAATATATATCTATATATAATATATATATTTATATATTAATGTATATATATATATCATGTATACTTATACATATATAAATACATAGACAGATAGATGTATAGGTATATATATGTGTTTATGTGCATGTATATATATATATCCACATAAATACACACACACACACACACACATATATATATATCGCATAAGCGACATCAATTCCCGATATGTATCAAGAAAAGCAATATAAAACGAGCTCCCGCCTCGTTTTCTGAGAGCGGTAAAGGAGACTTATAATACCTAACCTCAAAACCTTGCAGGATCCCTGGCACGGACGTGACCCTCGAGCCTGGCTTAATAGTGACATGCCCGCTCTTCACCATCCACCGGGACCCGAAGTACTGGCCTGAGCCCGAGGAATTTCGGCCCGAGCGCTTCCTGCCGGAGAACAAGGCGAACATCACCCACCTCACGCACATTCCCTTTGGAATCGGACCCAGGAACTGTATAGGTGAGATAACCTGAGATTTAGGAGTGAGATTGGTTTTGAATAATATCGTCTTGTCTTGATAGTTCTTTCTCTCTCTCTTTTCTGTATTTCTCTCTCTTTTTCTGTCTTTCTTTCTCTCCCTCCCTCTCCGCCCCTCTCTCTCTGGCTTTCTCTACTAACAAGATATATTATAGTACCTATACTTAATGAGTTATAAATCACTTCGCTTTCCTTGCAGCGATGAGATTTGCCCTCATGGAAGCCAAAGTGAGTCTGGCCAAGATGCTTCTTGCCACAGACATGAAGTTGGCACCAGGACACGAAGAAATTAAGATTGAATTTGGTTTTGGTTTGCTGAGGCCAAAAGACGGGGTTAACCTTCTCCTGACACCTTTGAAAGAAGAGTGAAAAATGAAAGGAGAGAAAGAGAGAGAGAGAAAGAGTCATTTATTCCCAATGATTGAGAAAGGAGAGAAAGGAAGAACATGTATAACGTGCCTTATCAGTAACGGATTCCTGTACATTAGAAGGGGGCGTGTGAAGCAATTGTCTGAAATCTTTCGTATGTTGGATATGTCATTTTCAATTTTACCATTACTTGCTAGCTAAATTAATGACAATGTTAATGATGATAACGATAATAATTATGATAATAATAATAGTGATAGTAATGGTGATATAAAGTCTTCCCTTCTAAGTGCAAAAACAAAGCAATAAAATGAAAAAAACGCAAAAAAGTCATGTAATTGGAAAGTGCATGCTATGAGTTTTAAGATAAATAAATGCTCACGATATTTCTTTTTTCTTTTCTTTTCATTTTTTTTATTTCCCCTTTATATATATATATATATATATATATATATATATATATATATATATATATATATATATATATTTTTTTTTTTTTTTTTTTTTTTTTTTTTTTTTTTTTTTTTTTTCTGTTGGCATGAAACTCCTAATGCAGAATACATCATCACACGAGAAGTCAAAGTAACATGTAAAATATATTATGCATTTACTTAACGCATCAGTATTTCTTAAACTATAGTTAGTTAGAAACAATACCCATTTCTGTTAATAAAATTAGTTATTTTTTCGTTAAATGATATTGGTGCCAAAAGATTAGAATAGGCAATTGAACAAAACTAAAATATTGAGTAGACATATTGTTGTTATTGTTGTTGATATTTTTGAGTCGCTTTCCATAAAAGATAATAAGATAAAATAACCAACCTTTCGAACTGACATAAGAAATAAGCAGAGTGCCAGGCCCAGTTGTTTCTTTATTAGGGCTATTCTCCGTTCCTTTCAACGAGGTATGTGGTTGTGGTTGAGTTTATTCATTTATTAATTATTATTGTTTTTTATAGAACTGTAAAAAAGAATTTCTCCGTTTTTTTTTATACTTAAAACTGTAATAAACATTTCGTCATTCAAAGAAAACGACGCACAGAAAAGCAGCGGACGATTTGTAATGGTGTGGATTACAAGATAACAGAAACTGATATGTGTTTATTATGGGTAATAAGATGATTAAGTAAATTCGTTCTGGAGGACGAATCATGAAGTGATACAAATAATACTTGTAATGACAAATAAAGGTATAGAACAAGTTCTTTATCATCGCCTTTCTTTTCATTCGTACTTTCTCCAATGCAAAATAATTAATCAATTTATATATATCTACCTATATATATATGTATAGGTATATATATATATATGTGTATGTGTGTGTGTAATTATTTATATTTATATATATATATATATATATATCACACACACACACACACACACACACACACACACACACACACACACACATATATATATATATATATATATATATATATATATATATATATATATGTATGTATGTATTTATATATATGTATACTTATGTACACTTATGTATATATACATATGTATATATATTCATTTATATATGTATAAGTGTCACGATAATTACAGTTAATTAACGTAACCGTATATAGATAAATATAATTCTCCTATATACAGAAGTATAAGCATTAGCGAATGAGAGGTGTGACTGCTGAATGAAAGATTAGGTGGTAGTTCTGCTTGTTGGCCTAACATGCCGTAAGGTAAGGAGATCGCTGTTCACCACCGGCTGAAAAGGACGTGCTCTCGACTCTATTTTACCGCTAATTCCTTGGAAAGACCTCCAGTTTAGAAGTTACAAACTGAATATAATTATTCTCATCAGATAATAAACTACATCGAAGTGCTAAACAGATAAAACTAAAATAAAGAAAACCGTGCAGTGCGAAAATACGTGAGTGCGGACAGTGAAATGACTATTGGTGAAGTGACTATTTGAAGTGACTGTGTTAGTAATGCTGTGCTATAATCTAGGGTTAGGATTAACCTGTAATGCGGAAGGTGAGTGAGTGGTATGAATGTGTAGGGCATCATCCATTGAACAATGTATCGTGTGCTAAGTGAATAAATAAATAATAAGTGAAGTTATTCCGTGCATTTATGTTCCCATTTATTTATATCAGTGGCTCGCAGTTTCCTTTCTCAATAAATGAGGAAAAAACTAGAAGAAAGTGATATTACAGACCTTAAAATAATAAATTAATAAGTAAGTAGTATTGCAATCACACTTTATCATATGGAAAGTAAATCATATAATTCATAATTCATGAAACGAACGTAATTGCTCATGAAATAAAATATCTCGAGCTAAAGAGTGACGAATACATTCCTTAATAACGGAAGGCATATGAAATAACTTATTCCTCGAGTAAGTGATGAATATATATAACTCCCATAACTAAATACTCATAATATAAATCATATCTTGAGTAAAGTGTGGCAATATGTATATATATAACTATAACTATACTATACATATTATATATGTATATATATATATATGTATATATGCATATATATATACACATAAATACATATACATACACGCACACATATATACACATATATGTGTATATATGTATTATATATATTGTCAGGGGTTTGTTTGGTCATTGTAGCCCTTTGTAGCATTGGTCTCTGAGTGATGAGCCACTCGAGGGATAAATAATATTTGTATAGATAACTCAAATAGATATTCACAAGTATTTACTCAGCTATACAAGTATATCGATGGCAAATAATAACAAGGTGAATTCGTTGCGCCGAGATTCGTAGAACAGTCGGGGTACCGAGGTATGGGCCACCAAGGTGTATGGTATAGAGGTGTAGATGCCAAGACAATTCGGCTCGCTAGAGAAGGGCTGCTCACAAGCTTTCTCATGAATATAAAAGGATGTGATCAAACGAACACACATAACAGAAAAACAACCAACCAAATAATTGTTGGAGTGTATTTACGTAATTATATCGATGCTTGTGTTACAAATGTAAGTTTAAATTAACAAAACCCAATTTCGAGTAACTGGACGGGCCCTCGTCTATATAGACCTATGGGTGTGTGTGTGTGTGTATGTGGCGTGCGTGCATGCGTGTGTTATCATCCGGCGGCGGTGAAATTTCGACATCTATCCAGCCTTTATGAAGAAGGAAATCAGCATCATTCAATTAGATTAAGGTTAGAAGAATTAAAACATCGAGGTAGGGGAGTTTTCACGAGTCTGAAAATAAGAAATATGCAATACTGGCTGATTTATTAATAATGAAATATAGTAACTGATCATTTTGACTTTGACACGATTTTTTCCGAAAAAAATTACTATAAAATTTGGTTGCAAATCGTGTGGGATGCATCAGGCGTGCCAACAGTCCCCGCAGAAGTCCCCAGGGAAGGGGCTTGCCCGAACGGTTTAATAATGCGTATTGCGAATGCGGGGCTCCCCGCTCCCTTCCCTGGAGACTAAATTGCGGGGCCCACACCAACGTTTCGATACGGCCGTTAGACATCATCCAGGTCTGTGCTACCGCAGCACGAGACCGAGTGATCATAAGGAGGAGACTTCAATGCACACCACCCCATCCTGGCTCCCTGCAGGGGAACAGATGCGGTAGGCTATCACATATCCAGTGTGCTTGAAACATTCCCTGAGATCGCTCTTCTCAATACCTAAGAGCTAATGCAAGTCAAGGGGGGAGGGGGGGTTCCTAGACATCACCTTGGTCACTGCGGCTCTGGTGGACAGAATCAGATGGTGTGTCACTGTCACTGACCACTATGGCACTGTTACCACAGTGCACAGCACCAATGCCACAGCACAATCCTAGATGGAAAACAGACAAGGCCAACTGGAGAGCCTTTCAGAATGCCTTGGCCCACTGTCTTAGATGCAATGAACCCCCACAGAGTGGAAATATGGATGTTCGTGATGCCAGCTTTATCAATGCCATAAATCAAGCAGCCTCACAGACCATACCTAAAATCGGCCTTGGTCCAGGAGTTACAAAGACGCCGTGTACTTTCATGATGAGATTACTGTGCAGAAAACAATTTCGAAGGCAAAAAACCCTGACAATTTAGCCTTCCTAAGGGAAGTTGTCAGGGGTGCTAAAGAAACTGCCAAAAGAGTCAGGTAGGAAAAGTCAGGTCGCAAAAAATAATCTTCCAGGTAGTACAGACCTCCTGAAATGCTGCAACATTATCATTTAAAAGATTAAGTTTATATATATATATATATATATATATATATATATATATATATATATATATATATATATATACATACATATATACATATGTATATATATAATGTTTGTATATATATGTATACATATATATGTGTGTGTATATATATATATGTATATATACATATGTATATATGTATATATGCATATATATATATATATATATATATATATATATATATATATATATATATATATATTACGTCATGCAGTGAAATAAGCGCCGTATATTATGTATTAAATAGTCTTCAAAAATAATTTTGATACAATATCATTTTGCGGGGCTTGATGCTCCAAGCTGCCCCGCATTTGTTCCAATACCATGCGGGGGGTCCGCGGGGCGAGTCATGATACCCTGAAAAGCGAACAGTCCCCTCTGTTAATGTCTCCTGGAGCATGACAATATCAATGTTCCTTGATCGCACTATAGCGTGGATGATATTTCTTGAACTGAAGATGTTCTACTGTAGTATGTTAAGATTGTGTACCATGATGTTACTTGGTGTTAGTTACATCTGAGACGTCTTTGTACTCGGATTCAGAGTCAGTTTCCACATCAATGGTGATCGGAGTCTGGTTTGGCTCTGTCCAGCTTCCTCCGTTTCAGGGCTGAATCAGTTTGCGTTAGTGCCGCCATGGCGACCGTGACTGCCTTCTCCGCCTCCTCACTCTTCAAAGCTGTTGATACTACAGTGACTACAGCAGTCAACAGGATTCATATCTTCTTCATCAAACAGGAGATAATCGTCTCTTGGGAGGATTTTGCAGTGTTTTTTTAACCTTTCTTTCTCTGGATCTTTTTCTGCACACTTGCAATGATCGGAAACGCCCTTTTTTTAGAGGTGTCCGGTGTCGGCAGGGGAGGTGCTGTTTTCCTCCTAGGCGGTTGAGAAGCCTTTCCCGTTTTGTTCTGTCCCCAGACATGGGTGCCTGGGGGAGCAGGAACAGTCTGGCCCTTTTCCCATCTTGTTCCGTCCCCAGACATGGGTGCCTGGGGGAACAGGAACAAAGTCTGGTCGATATTTAGCCTGAGGGTCGCCTCCTTCCTGACAGAACAAGCCAGGCTCTAGGCACGATGGCTCTAGGCACAGTTGGGACAGTTGGTTATTGTGTCCCTTTGGCTTTCCTTGTGTGCCGTGCTACAGACACCACATTTGGGCTTGGCCTTGTAGCTAGTCTGGTGGGGACCATATTTCTCCTTTCAAGGTCACCAGGACTTGCTTGGGGTCTTCCCTTTCGATATTCGGGAAGCACCCACGACCTGTGGGTGTGATGTGATCAGATCCACATCATAAGAAACTGAGATGCCAAGTAGCACCATCTTGATTCTCCTATCTCCGGGATTCAATGGTCAGATACACACTTTCCTCCCAACTCCTTCTTTTTCTGCAGGAAATTCAGGGTAGCTTGGTCTTTAGGGACAATGACCATGGCCTGGTCTCTGGCAACCTGGATTGACAACCGGATTTGTCTCACCAATTAGTAGGTATTGTCGAAGCCTTCAGGTTTAGGGGGAACCTTAAACTGTGGGAAACGTCTATAGGGCCTAGATCGTTTCGGACCACTCCTTCGGCATGGGTTCTGAGTCATGGGAGTAGCTGCTGGTTTGGCTGGTCCAGCTTGTGCTGGAGAGGACGTCTGAGGGTAAGTCAGTCTCCCTGTTTTGGGTCCGGGCCTTGAGAGGCTAGCACGAAAGTCCATCTGTTGGACAATCTCATGGACATGTTTTGTTTTGGTGATGGATTTTTTGTCCTGTTCATTTTGGCAGCACACCTGATAATCAGTCTGTGCTTTTGGTTTCTTCTTTTCACACAGTTTTCCATGGTCAATTCTTTGTAAGGTTTGTCATCTTTTATCTCAGTTCGTGGGGGACATGGTGAATTAGTTGCACTGTAACTAAGCAGTTATTTCACCCTCTCACACCCCCACCCACCAAGCAGTCCAGTAAGGGGAAGTTGTATGTTAGAGCTCATGTCTAAGGT